ACAAATTTCATCCGCAAAGTGTGTTAGCTGAACCCCTTCAGAACCAATTGCAAGGGAGCAGAGAGGGTTTTGAGCCAAATTCTCTTGTTTCTCATCCTCGACCGGAAGCCAGTTCTCTATTTGCCTGTAGACTACGGCCATGGCTTCTGGCGGTGGGTGCGCTCGGGCAGCCTCTCGAGTGTCGTGGTGCATCCATTGCACAAAGCGCAGACCCGTGGTTCTTGCTTTGCGGATGGAGCCTGTGCCTTGTTCCACGGTCCATTCTTTAGGCCGCCGAGCATTGGACACTGTTGCAGAGGGACTTCGGTGCAACCTTGTGAGAGACGACAGATGACTGCCGGCAGCTCATGTGGCATGTTCCAGCGGTGCGCAGCCCGCAAGCCTAGGGGCCTTTAAATCGGCGCCGCTTCTTCTCGTCCGACAGATCTGACAACAGCCTAGCGTGCTCATTGTCTGGACACAGGCTTGGTGATTGCGGCCTGCAGGATTTTCTTTGTGAACTACCCCAATTTTCAGGTTGGTGGTCATGGCCAACAGGAGGAAGGTAAGGGACCGTGTTTTCCCCGCTCCAAAGACTCCTGCAATTGCCACTGTCGAACGTCCAGTTTGGAGGGCAGCAGCGAGTGAGATTGCTGGTAACATGATGTGAGCGCTCGGGCAGCTGGGCACAATTTCATGCCGGCTTCTGAGGCTGAGGGACAACACCTTGGGGTGTCGCCCGAGGTGGTCAGCAGAGGCAGTGCTGCCAACCTCTGCCAGGCTGAGGATTCGAAGTGCTGTGGTGCAAGGTGTAAGGTCGATCATGCACGGTGGGAGGCAGCACGCCGCATCTATATTCGTCCCAATCTCCCCTTGATGGGAGAGGGGCAAAGGCCAATCACTGCCACTATCCACGACTTGGGGCTGCGGTATCTTGCCGCCGATTCTTCATAAGTTTCAGCTGTCCCTTGTCTGGACTTCTTTCGGGGTTGTGCAACAAACTCCAGCAAGCAGAACCCCGAGTAGGGTAAAGACCGCTGCATCTTCCTGAAAGACAATGCGGTAGACTTTGCCAACTTGGCAGCCAATGCGTATCTTTTCCGGCGGTATACTAGTGAGGTGGCCAATCTGCTGCACGGTGGTTTCAGGGGAGCAAAACGCAGCAGCCCTCGAGTGGGCTGGGAACGCAATGCGACATTCGTTCATGCCTCTCAGTCCTCGGGCCACCGGAGTAACCTGGACTTCAGTTGCCTGTTGTTGGATCACTGGGCTTGACCAGAGCTGATTATCAACTCTTGCTCCCTCTGCAAAGGGGAGCTGCGGCAGAAAAAGGGCAAGAATTACGAAAACTTCTCGGAAAGGAATGGGGGCCAATAGATCCCTTGTGACCGCAGTGAGCCAATCAGCGCAATCGCTCTGCTGAGCGCCTCCTACTCGAAAGTTGCGTAGCAAGAGAGCCTGTGCCTCCTCCATAGACGTTATTCCTTGATCAGGCACACACCTACCCAGCAGTTGCAAGGGCTTCGTCTGGGAGGTGTATCTCCGGTACGAGCATTTCAATTGCTGTACTCCGGTCTCTTCGATCCATTACCGTTTCGAAGCGGATCCACGACGCAAGCGGTAGCGGCGCTGCCATTCTGTCTCGAGTTGGGATAACTTCTGGGTGGCTGAGTTTGAGATCAGTGAGACTGTGTCGGCCGCGTGGGAGCTGACATCTTAGCAAGTGAAGATATTGATGCTTGCTAGAGCCCATCCATTTATCAGATTCAGTGACCAAGGTGTACTCAAGTCTGTGCGAAATGACATGACGGTCCACTTGGCTTGGCTGCCAGTCACGCAGCATATCTTCCTCCGCATGAATGAGGTGCACCCAGCATCGGCCACTGGGCTTCCTGTATAGCAACACCCTCCTATTGGCTTCCATGTGTCTACCACCCAAGAAGCGGGGTAGTGCGGCATTCCCAGTAGGGCGATGGGCAAGGTTTCCCATCCGAGCTGTGCAAGTTGATCGAGGACCTTCGGGGCGTCATGCTTCGCTTTACCAAAGGCATGGAAGATAACAGGTCGCGTACGATTCGGCAGGATTCGGCTGGCCTGAAACAAATGCTCTCCTGGCAGGGAAAGGGCTTTACATGGACCTTCAAGGTGGGGTAGCGCTGAGAGACGCACGAGCCCAGCGAGTGAGCCAGGGCGTACGCTCCCGACCTGCCTCGGACAGGGCACCAGGGTGGGCCTTCTTAGGCCGCCGGAGCGGGTGCAGCTCTGCTGCTATTGTGGGCGGGTTATTAGGCATCATAGGCCTTGGCCAGAATGTGTTGCGCATGTAGGTGCCATAGAGGGCCCACACCATGACCAGGTCGAGGGAGCTTTCCATTGGCACTCCTACCAATGGGGTAAACATTGTTCCCTTGTGGGAGGTACCTGTTGGGTTTTCAGGAGGTCGAGCCATGGCCAGTAGCTGGGAACGATAGTCTGCAAGGTCATCTGCTAGTGTCTCAGCAGTGGAGTACTGGGTGATTGGACTTGGCAGGCCCTGACTCCCTAACGAAATGACAAGACCTGCATTGTACTCCAAGTGCGCTTCCGTAACTAGGAGGAGACCTACCTTATCTGTGCGCTTCTGATCATCAGGTGCGAGCCCAACCAGATCAGTAGTCAGCCGTCGAAGACTACAAATCATCGAAAGCCAGAGTGGAGCCAAGACAGTGAGTGTGGTTGTGGGGTGCAAGTAAGCACCATTCCGGCAAGGCAGCATCTCCCCCCAGAGGGGGGAGACGGCAGCTTACGAGCCAAGTTGAGCTGCCGACTGGCGCAATGGCAAAAGGATGTTGAGTCTCGATTGGCGCCATGCAGGCGTGCCACCTGTACGCATTCTTGAAACATGCAAGCCCCATGAACTAAGTGTCTGTGCAGTTCTGTACTCTCTGTATCCATCCAGGACCGCCACTAGGGTGGCAGCCTGGGCACTGTCTAAAATGAGTGTCCCGCAGGAGTGTCCCACAAGAGTGCCCCACAACAGTGTCTCAAGAGTGTCCCTTAAGAGTGTCCGACAAGAGTGTCCCACAACAGTGTCCCACAAGAGTGTCCCACAAGAGTGTGTCCCACAAGAGTGTCCTACAAGAGTATCCCACACCACAAGCGTGTCCCACAAGAGTTTCCTGCAAGAGTGTCCCACAAGAGCGCCCCGCAAGAGTGCCCTGCAAGAGTGTCCCACAAGAGTGTCCTACAAGAATGCCCCGCAAGAGTTTCCTATAAGAGTGTCCCACAAGAGTGTCCCACAAGAGTGTCCCACAAGAGCGTCCCACAAGAGTGTCCTGCAAGAGTGTCCCACAAGAGTGTCCCACAGATGGGAGCTCAAGGCGATGCCGCTGATCAACTAGCTCCTCAGGCGCAATTTCGCCCGCGGGCCTTTGAGAAATGCAGTGCATTGCGGCAAATTAGCTTTGAGAAAACTGAGTATGATCCTGCAAACTTGACACGCTGCCTGCCTGAGTGCTGTTTCTTGGAGGCTGGGATCGTCTCGTTGCACCTGCCAGCGGACATCAATTGGACGGGACCTGCCGCCTGTGAGCTTAGTGAGCGATTGCAAATAGTAGACCTCTCACGAACTGACATTAGAGAGATTTTAGGGTCCACTTTTGCACACTGCTCGCAATTGGAGCGGCTCAGTCTTGCCAGCAAGCTGCGGCGCATTGGACGAGAAGCCTTTTTGAACTGCGCATCGCTGTGTGAGGGACATGCCCCGCCAGCTTTGCTGTATATGGCTCGACGAGCCTTTGCAGGATGCACACAACTTTGCACATTTCACAAACCAGAAGCCAGAACTACCTGGAGAGGGCCATACGCGGAACCTAGTGCCTTTGACAAATGCAGTCAACTTGACATCCCGAGGTGGATTCACCTCCTCCCACCGAATCGAAGTAGAGAGGAGTGGGCACGATTTTTGCGACTGCGCAAGGACCTGCAGTAATCTTGCTAACTGTTCAGGCTTGCACCCACGTGCAGGTCCTGCTAATAACTTGAACATGCGCAAAGGACCTGTCGTCCACACTGAGTAGGGGACACTCTTGCAGGACACTTGTGGGACACTCTTAAGGGACACTCTTGTGAGACACTCTTGTGGGACACTTCTGTGGGACACTCGGGACACTCTTGCGGGACACTCTTGTGGGCACTCTTGCAGACACTCTTATGGGACTCTTGCAGGGAACCCTTGTTGCTCTTGCAGGACGCTCTTGTACACTCTTGCAGGACACTCTTGTGGGACACTCTTGTGGGGCACTCTTGTGGGACACTCTTGTGGGACACTCTTAAATGGACACTCTTAACTGTGGGACATGGTTGCGGGACACTCTTGTGGGACACGGAAGCTACGCATGTTTGGAATTTGTGTGTTCGAGGAATGCCGCTCCCTGCTGAGAGTGTCCCAAATGAGTGTCCCACAGGAGTGTCCCACAAGAGTGTCCCGCAACAGTGTCCCGCAAGAGTGTCTTACAAGAGTGTCCCTTAAGAGTCCCACAAGAGTGTCCCGCAACAGTGTCCCACAAGAGTGTCCAACAAGAGTGTCCCACAGCTTCCTACAACAGTGTCCCACAAGAGTGCCCCACAAGAGTGTCCTGCAAGAGTGTCCT